ATACATTTTTTTGTTCTTTAGAATTTACAACAAAAATATTAAACACTGTATTACTTTTGTTGTTATCACAGTGTTTTGGCTGATCCAGTCTACAGCCTTCTTCAATTGTTCAATCCTTTTGGAAGATATGTTCTCTAATTTGAAGAAGTGTCACTATAATTCCAAGAATTGTTCAAACTATTGATCTAATTCTTTGTGTTGCTTTTGCTGCTGCCACAGTGGTTTGGCTGATCCATTCTACAGCCTTCTTCAGGGATATAATCTATGCAGAAGATATGTTCCATATGATGAGTCGGTATCATTCCAAGAGTGGTTCTGTTGATCTCATTCTTTTTATTGTTTTTCTTGTAATCATCTTGACAGTCTTTTTAGAATCAAAATCCTACAATCAAGAGGTTGACATGATAAAAGATTCATAAACTGTTAGTAAAGGAAATCAATGCTTAACAGTTACACATTCCTTACTAAAAAATGAAGGACATTTGACAATAGTTTTTACTGAACTTTGTCCTGAAAGGCTAAACAAAATAACCTTTTAAGCCAGATATCCAAAGTCTTAAGTCCTTGCTTACATATCAGAAAATTTTTCTTAAGTGCATATGAGGATCGATAAAAAAAAGTAATGTAACTCCCCCTCCCCAGCAATACATTTACAATACACTTGCTTTTCTTCTCTTCATCCTTCTTATTGCTTCTTTACTCCCTTTCTATTATACCCAAGATTTTGTGTTTATTTATTTTTGAAAATAATAATGTAGCATTCTTTAGTTTTTTAAAAAATAAAGAAGTGTTAAGTGGTCATTTGATAAACAGTCACCTGAGGGACTGTAAGGTTGAAACCAAGTTAAAGGATTCAACTGACCTCCCGATTTTTAAAGTTAAAAGCTCTATATGTTATTTTTACTTTTGTCTTTTCACATGTGTATTGAGCACTTTTTGATACAACTGTTTCCTGGTCTAATTCAACTCTGACCATTAACCTTTTATGTATTTTATATATATATATATATATATATATATAGTGTGTGATTGAAACATAACAACTTATTTTATGCATGAGTGGCCAGCCAGGAGTCCTGATTTAACACCCTGTGATTTTTTTTCTTTGGGGTTGGTTAAAGGAGCAAGTCTACAACCTTTTGGGAGAACTTGAAGGATGAATATAAGAAGTTATGTCTTCTATACTACAAGACTTCCTGGGTGGTTTGAGAAGCTGGTAGTGAAATCTGGCACCCATATTGAATTTTAAATAAAACTTCATGCTAAACGCTTTCATCTTATATACATTTTTTGTAAAAATTATAGTTAATAAATAAATAATAAGTATTTTAAAATGGGGAGTTACTTTTCAATCACCCTGTATATTGGTTGTTGGCTCCTTTACAAAGCTCAGATAATAACATCGATAGGTCTTGTTTTCATCCTGTCAAGTGAAATGCCACCCTCCTCACCAGCAGAAAAGCTAGTGGAGGAGCTGGTTTAAATGCCAATCACCCATCTGTGTGGCAGGTTTTACTTGGTTACATATTATCAGTAACAAGCCTAAGCCTTACTTGATTTGTCAATGAATTTAAAAATCTGTCCAATAAAAGAAATAAACATAACATGACTTTACTCTAATCAGTATGAGATTTTAAATTGTGAGATGGAGCCAAATTATGATGGTATTCTCAGGTGTTGATTATACAGAAGAAATACCTGTCTCAAATGGAACCTGTATATTTTGCTGAAGAAGAGTATATAATACAGGAATCAGAATTTTACTTGTTAGATCCAATTTGTGATGCAGACATTACAAAGAAATAATGAAATAAGGAAGATAAAGAAATCAGTAAAGCTACCAAAGTGGCAATTACACACATTGTGGTTACTTAGAAGATAAAAGATGATTAAGCTACAAGAACAAAGTGATTATCAAATCCTCATGGACCTGAAGATTATCCACTCAAACGCAAAAGATATCTATCTATATTTCACTTTGCTCATAACTGCCTAGAAAAGAATTTTGGTAAAAAAATAAATAAATAGAGAAACCAGTATTATTTATCAGTTTTCTCATGAGGAGAGGCTGATTCTGTGATGCCAACACAATGAGAGATTTAAAAATGAGGTCTCTGTAGAGGAGAGGAACTAACTCTGACACTGTAAATTGTAAAACACCCAATCCACCATAGATTGCTGCCAATTGCAATCACAGTTTTTTCCCAACTGTTGTGTGAAACATCTTACCAACCACTTGAATACATGCTGAATTCATGAATATTCATCAGCTGTGCAAATGACCACCTACATGTGAAGCACACAAAGCATTGTCATTGTTCAGGTTCAGTGAATGAGGCAGAGATTTTTTACAACCAGAAATAAAATAGAAGAATTGTAAATAATGCAAAGTGAATGCAGCAGTTCTTTCTCGTTCTTGTAGTTCAATTCTAGCCTGTAAAAACAGGATGAACTTCTGTTTGGATACTTTCAACTTGGAACAAATAAATCACATTAAAGAATAGGAAAGTAATTAGATTTTAAGATTTGCAAGTGGAGCAAGTTCAAAAATGGATTGAGAAACTAACATTTGCATGTAAAACTGCAGAATATAATATTATTATAAATTTCTGATGTGAATGACAGTGACATTTCACTTTCATTAACCGAAACATCCATGAAAAAAAAAATCAAAATAATCCTAGACATGGAAGATGATAAAGCCTTAATTTTTGGAGAAATCATTGACTTACAGTATATTGCATTAGGTTATTGTTTTGTTCTAACTACCATTTACCAGGCTCACCGTTCTGGATGAAGACAACAAATAAAACAGTTGATAGATAAACACATGCACCATGTTGATAATTATGGTGACAAAAAATAGATACCAAAGGATAACTAATAGTTTAAATTAAGATAATCTCACCTATTATTGTACTAAAGGCCAGAGTGTACAACGGCTGAAATGTTGTGATAAATATGGCAACAAAGATGAGGACAATAGTCCGAATAATGTAAATAATGTAAATCCTCCTTCAAGAAGAATTTAATATTCAACCTAATGACACTTAAAGAGATAAAGTAGTAACAATAATTCAATTATGGTGATCCGATTGTTCAATGAATTTTTAGCTGCACTTGTCAAAATACCAGGATGGGATTGCATCACTATTTTCATCAGTTAGCTATATTCCATTTAGTCAACTGTTTTTTGTCAAGTCATTGTTTATCCCAGGACTGGGCACCCAACCAATGGTTGTCAAGTCTTGTAGATCAAAGATCAAATGAAATGCCAACTGATATCAAGTTAAGTATAAATGAAAAAACTATATGTGTACAAAAAGATTATTGACAAACTTTATGCTAGTCATTGTGGCTATCATACCATGAGTTGGATGCAGGCGTGTGTGATGATGTTAAAAATTTGGTGAAGTTTCAAAAGTTTTGTTTGTAAGAGAAACATGAAAATGTCCACCAATTCCATGGAATTTATTCCTCTTGATCTGGAATTTAATGGAGTTCATACCATAGATCTCAAACTTATTTTCGGTATCTATATCTGATATATATTGAAACTGTATTCAGTCTAGCAGCTGTTATATATTACTAAAAGCTGTCTATCCTTATTGACAAGATCATGATCATACAGCTTGGATGTGAACTGCCCCTTTACTAAAAAATTTCAGCCGACAGTGGTGCTGAAATTGCAAATGTCCAAGATGGTGACATGTTGTAAAAGAATACTGAAGAATGGAATACTGCCAAATAGGATATGTGAGAGAAATTATGCAGTTATGGATGATTCAGAAAATTCTTGTTGATAATAAAAACATTGACACTGAAAGGACTTTTGCATGTGCAGCTAATGTTTGAAACAAATTGCAAGTGGTACATGGATGGTCACCCTATCAATTAGTATTGGGAAAGAACCCAAATCTGTTAATTGACAAACATCCAGCTCTGTATCGCACAACAGTGAGTGAAGTTTTTTACAAAACATGAATACTTTTCATGCCAATGGGGAAACATTTATTCAGCCCAAATGTTCTGCAAGTATAAAAAAAAAGTCACTTATTATTTTTTCATCTCAAGCAACGCAATAAAGCTACTATAATGTAAAAGGTTACTCAGTGTAGGAGAATATGAGAAAAAGAAAAATATTATTAAGGATAGAGAATATTAAAAGAACAAGAATTAAGTAGACAGAAGATAACGATTGACATTGCATTTAAATTTTTGAAAATCAAGCTGACTGGAATTGAAGAAGCCGGAAGAGAGTTCTATAAGCAAGAAGTGTGATAGAAAATAACTGTTAGCATTGAACATATGGTTATATCTAGCCATTTCAAGTGTAAAATGATGAGACCTACCTGCCAATCTAGTACTGCACTTAAATTCATAAACTCCCAGTACCATAGAGGAAAGTTCACCAGATCAATTGCCATGAAAGTATTTATAGAAAAGGCACAGGGATTCTACATTATGGCAGTGGGAAAGTGACTGAAGGTGAGACGCTGAGTCAGGATCAATAACATTGCAAATTCTTCTTCGGGTTTTATCAAGAATATAGGAGGAGCACCAGACCAAAAATGGTAACAATATTCAAAGACAAATGGCAGCTTTATAAATATGTAAGATAGATTCTGACAAGAAAAATTGTCTAGCAAAATGCAGGGAACCAACTGTCCTAGCAGTGGGCCTAGTAATTAATTCAATATAAGGTTGGTTTTGTAGATGTTGAATAAACAAAATGTGTCTGAGTAGGCATCTGTGCAACAGGAACTGGCAATCTGACCTGGGCATCACCTGTGCTTGAAAAATGATTATTTGGATGGTTGTTTTTGTTTAGCAGCATCAATCTGTAGGGGGTTATAATAAGTTGGGGAGAATAGGTGGATTTATACCATTCCCAAGTGTACTTGCACATAAGTGAATATAACAAACCCAATGGAAATTGAAACTTGCTCTCTAATTAAGAATTCCAAACCATTATCCATTACACCACCTGCACCTCCAAGCTTACAGCACCTGGTATTCCCAAGTGGTCACCCATCTAGGTACTGACCAGGCTTCTTGACATTGCTTAACTTTGGTGATCATACTGGAATTGGTGTTTCAATGTGATCTGGTCAT